ATGAAATTTTTGGCACAATCGCAAAATGACGAAACTATTCGTCAATTCAAAAATAATTTCGTCAAGCATCTATAATTCCAACCCCTCGTTCTTTCCATTAATGCTCACGATCATACGAATAACTTCTCCCTAACAGTATGTCGAGTAATCTCCTCCTCTTCTTCTCCGTTAAGCACTACAAAAAAAATTATTATTATAATTTTGTACAGACTAAGCAAATTTAAAATTTTAACTAACCTTCTTGTTCATGTAATAAGGGCCTTGCAACGGTTCCAAAAAGTACTACTTCTTCAATATAACTTTCTTCGGCATCACTTTCTTCGCCATCAGTTTTTTTGTCATTATTATCATTATCATCACCGTAGTTTCATGTAGGGTCATCAAATACACTGTGGATGAACCGAATTTTTTCCATTAATGAAGTAGAATACTTAGAAAATACAACTGGCTATAAATAAACTAAGGCTGATTAATTACTATTTATAACAAAAGGAAAATAATTTGCGCAAATAATTTAGGGGGATTTACAAATAAGGGCCCGGAAAGTGAAAATAATTACAAATACGGGCTCAAATTAAAAATAATTACATATATAGGGTCTGATTTTTTAAAAAATATTACATATAAGGCCCAAATCTATTGATGGCGGAAAAAATGTGATCATGGAATTACTGCGATTATAGGATATCGATTGTTTTATTATAGGCATTTAGAGTTATCTATATACCTATTATTAGATAAAAGAATAAATGATGCGTTAGTTATAATTATTTTCGTTTATATATTGTATAAAAAATAGCGTTAAACTAGCGCAATTATTTATAAGGCGAAGAAGTTTCAACAAAGTAGCTCTCTAGAGCTGGACGAACATCTTCCATATTGTAAATGTCATGCCAATTCGCGATGCTTTACTTGACATCTTAGTGGTTTGTTATAATAAGAAATTTTATACAAAGAAAATGAAATTTATTAAATTTAAAAAAAAATCTTTTCTCATTTATAATTACTAATTTACAATCGATAGTTACATTTTTTATGCACTTAATAACTACATTTATCGATGCAGCTAATAACGATCAGGCCACAGGCTTGGATGACGTCGCGGTTATTTTGGGCCCTTATATGTAATATTTTTTAAAAATTAGGCCCTCATATGTAATTATTTTTAACTTGGGCTCGTATTTGTAATTATTTTCACTTTCCGGGCCCTTATTTATAAGTTCCCCTAAAAAATAGGGCACGGGATTTATGGTCAGGCATAGGTACATGACAGCACGAGAATATACAGAACTATAGGGAATATAAAACAGGACAGTGCACAGGAAAAGGCGCGAATTCCGTGCAACAGTGCGTGCTTTTTTACATGTTTTCCCGTGCAATTTCCCGTATAGTTACATATGTATCCGTTCGCTGCTTCATGCACATGCCGCGCATATAAGAAACTTTAGTGCAATTGGTGTGTTATAGTAGGGTTAGTACAAGTGCGCCAGTGTGATGGAGAGTCTAGTAAGCCACAGTGAAAGCATTT